TCTTTTTAAGTTTACCTCATTTGAACACAATGGCTTTCCTCAGTGGTCAGAAGCTGAAGAGTCCATCAGACAGCAAGGTGGTCTCTAAGCCTCTTCATCAACCTTTTCTTTTCATTTTTTGAGCACAGTGTCAATTAGAGATTGATTATTAGATTAGCAGGAAACACTGCTTGGTTCCAATCTTCTCTGTTTCTACTGTGAACTCAACTCACATCAACAAGCTAATTAAAAGGAATCACACCCTAAGAAATAACCAATCACTGATGCATAACTCCACTGTCAGAAATTAAGTAGTAGCCACTTGGTACAAATGGCCTGATAGTGAGCAAGATTCAGAAGAGACCCTTCAGAAACAAATGGTGCTGAACCATGTGCATTAGGTGCAGACAGAGATACAAGCCATGACAGGCTCTCAGCTGGCTCCTCTTGATGCCTTCTTTGTGAAGTCACAGCTTCCCCTCTCTCTACAGAGCCTCTAAATTTGAGTGCCTGGAGACCCTCTTCAGCCCTCTGTAATTTTCCTTTTTGCTCTGCTGTTAGAGTTTCCATCTGCTTTTCATGGCTTCAGTGAAAATCTCCACAGAACACTCACAAATCTTGCTTCTGGTATCGAATTCCCTCCCATAAATTTTAGTCCTAGATTTGCAAAACTTTTGGAATATCTATAGTCATCTTAAATTTAACATGTTCAGAGCCAAACTCATCATCATTTGTTGATCTGCATTTGTTCATACATGCATGCATTCATTCATTCCATTCATTCATTCATTCATTCTTCACTGGCACTGGGCACAAATGAGGATAAGGACCTCCCTGATCTCAAGAAGCTCAGAGTCTGATCTTAAATTGGAGTCAGAATTTGTAGATCAAAAAGGATCAATGTGACTTAACTGCAATACCCTGTTTGTGTACAAGGCAACTGAAGCCAAGGGAGATCAAATGGCTTGTTTAAGGTCATACTGCCATTGGCAAAGCTAGCAGTTAAACTCAGGACTCCTGACGCGTGCATTTCTATCAAAGACATAATAATTCTCCCAATTTCCTCAGTCCAGCTTTGGAGGAACACAAATGAGATTCCTCAGTGTCTCACCTCACCATCAACAGCCAGTCAATCAACAGGCACTTCAGTGTCTTCCTTTTGACCATCTCCCATTTCTGCCATTTCCTTAATTTCTGACCACCCCTGGGCTGTTCCAGGTCACCATCACCCCCATGCATCACCTGACTCTGGCTACAGAGATGGTCAGTCTCCCTGACCCTTCCTGCACTGGGCATTTCTGCTACCTGACCTGTACCACTTATCTCATCCTCTGTCTCCAGTTCAACTCACATGTGGCTCCCAGGACAATCCTTCTAAAGCCCCGTAAACACATCATGTTCCAAACATGCAGTGAGTCTCAGACACCCTCCACACCATTTATCAAACTAGGATCCACAAAACATGGATCCCAGTGGATGCTCTGTGGACATAGGAAAATGCTGCTTGCACTCCATTGCTTGGAGAGTCACCTTCTTTTGAACCAGTATTTCCCAAGCTTATTTGACCACAGAACTTCCCCTTTGCAAGGAATGCACATGACCACCCCCCAGACCCAGTGTTTCTACAAAAGTGTGGTGGGAGATGGCAGCCTACAGTCTTAAGTACAGTGAGTTTGCCACATAGCTCAAGTTTCTTCTATTCTCCTTCCCTAATGGTACGTTTTTGCAATTTTCCCAATTGGAAACATCCTCCAACATTGCTTGAAGTCAAGGTTCATGGGGAAAGAAGGTTGGAGATGTGTACAAAGCCGAAACTTCTGTCATGTCAGACAGCTATCCAGGGCTCAAGTGAGCAAAGGGATCTCAACATATAATGGGTTAGACCATGATTAGGACCAAAATTGTAAATAGGTCAAGCCCAGAGACACGGAAAAGGTCAGGAAGGAATCACTGGTGCACGTAGGCAGGTGGTGGAGCTGCACTGAGGAAGGGAAGAGCAGTCAGTTGCGGTAATCTTAGATGTACTGCTAAGATCCATATGGTCCAGGACTCTTCTCAGTTGGGCTAGAGATCTAGGTTGATGACTGCTCCTCCTGGGGATGGGCGGCCCTGGACCACATGGCGGTCAGGAGGAGGCTGGGGGTAGGCCACAGATGAGTCCTGAAACATGAAGGTCAGGAGGAGGCTGGAGGTAGGCCACAGATGAGTCCTGAAACATGAAGGTCAGGAGGAGGCTGGGAGTAGGCCACAGGCGAGTCCTGCCCATTTCTATTTCAGAAGTGGGAAGAATGGAATTACCTGTTATCTTTCTTTGTTTTTGTAATTTTCCCATTTGGAAACATTTTCCATCTCCTTTTCCACTTAATTAAATCTTACCCTTCCTCCAATAATCAGTTCAGATCTCTCTTCTAAAAATCCTTTCCCAGCTCCCTCATCTGAGACTACTGTAGCATTTATTCACCTGAATCAGAAAAACAAAACCTCAACAGTAAAAACACCCTTGGCTTGCATTTGTGCCAAGAAGCCTGGGAAATGGTAGAATTTTCCCATTAACTACCTTTAAAAGTAATGTATAAGGTAAGATTATAGTACATTCACAAACACGAACTGTATTTATACAAAACTTTCAGGAACTATAGTTTTTAAGTAAGGAGATTTAACACCAATAAGCAATTCATTATAGCTGATACTGAGTTCGGGTGTTTTGACCAGAATAACTTTGGAAAAACTAGGAAAGTTTCATGCCTTCATTTTCACTTTGCAAAAATTGTCAACCAGCTAATGAATACTATTATGAGAAGAAAGACTGAATAGTACAGAAGGAAAATAAAATCATGATAGATTCCATAAAGACTATTTATATTGTAAGAGAGTATTTCCATCTTTCTATTTCTAGCATTCCCACCCCCAACAATACAAATAAAATTAGTCTCATTTGCTTAAAAATTATCATTTTGGTGTAATTTCTGTGTATTTCTGAAACATTTTTCTTCCTAAGGGAGAAAAGATGCCTCGTAATAAGAATGCTCAATTCAGTTCCTACCTGGAATTTAAAAACTATCATAGTAGACACCATATATTAACACACATACGTCACCTTCACTGAGCCGTGGGTTATGGAAGGAAGCATGAGGAGAAGCACATTGGAGGTAATTCCAGTATTTTTACCTCTGAAATAGAAATGGGCTGGACTCACCGGTGGCTTATCCCCAGACTCCTCCTGACCACCATGTTGTGGTCTCAGGGCCGCCCAGGAGCAGTCATCATCAGCCTGGATGTCCAGTCTCAGATGGCATGGACCTTACCAGTACGTTTAAGATTATCATAACTGACTGGTCTCCCCTGCCTCAGCCCAGCTCAGCCACCCGCTTGCATGCACCTATCATTCCTTCCTGACCTTTTCCATATCTCTGGGCTTGACCTGTTTTCAATTTGATCCTCATCTTGATTGAACCCATTATATTTGGATGGGTTCAAATTGCGCCCTGGATGGTCCTCTGACATAACAGCAGTCTCAGCCTCAACACACATCTCCAACCTTCTTTCCCTATGTGAACCCTTGACTTCAAGAAACTAGTCTACTCATGGAGCCTTGGGTAAACCATGCCATGCACACCAACAACTTCATTCTCCAAAAGGCCTGTCCTGTGAGACTCAGGCCCAGGTTCTTCTCTCAAGAAGCCTTCTCCAACTTCTTAACCTATGAAAACCACCTCAGCCTCTGAACTAGAACACTTACTGTCTCCTCCAGTGACTCACATAGCAGGCCCCACAAAACAGTGTCCCAGAGGGTGTCTCCAAGGGAAAAGCTCTCTCTTGGAGATTAACAACACACATTAGCATATTAAAGGCTTTCCAGAGTCTTAAACCCAAGAAACTTTTCATATAATATTGAGCCTCATGTTTCTCAAATTTATTTAGCCATGGAACTCCTTTTCCATGCTACAGCCTTTGACAACAATTTGGAAGTGCAGGCGGAAGGAAAATGAGCCTGCCTAAGTCAGTGACATTTCTCACAAGCAACCTTGTATTCTCAGGTGCCCTAATGTCCATGTCTCTTCTCCGCCTGATTTAAATGGCAGCAACTCGGCAGCTCTAATCAGCTGCAGGCTTCCTTACCTCTTGTCACTGTTCTGATCCTCACATCACTCTCTGCCTGGTGGGAGTGACCTAATACACAGGAGGCCTGTAGCGCAGCACCTAGCATAGAGTCAAGGGCAAAGCTGCTCGCTACTTTGAATTTGGGGCAGTAGGGAGAAAGAGTGGTTAAGAGTTTGGTCTGTGGAATTAGACAGGCCCCATTCTAATTCGGGCACAGCTCTCACTAGACAGGCTATGAGGTCAAGGATCATGCCTGTTTTGTCCATCAGTGTCTGGTACAGACACAGTGCCTGATAGAGACCATGCAGTCAATGAGTACGCAATGAATGAATGAAGGACAAAGCAGTTCTCAGTCCAGGTGTTTTGCCCAACAGAGCATATTTGGCAGTGTACGGAGACGGTTTTGGCTGTCACGCTAGCATCTAGTGGGTAAAAGTAAGGATGCTTTACATGAAACATCCTACAATGCACAGGACAAAGAACAACCCAGCCCCAAAGGTCAACGGTGCCAGAGTTGAGAAATCCTGCTCTACAGACAGGCCAATCCGGGATGAATTTCTAATCACCGACCCCAGCTGTTAGGCCTTGAGCAAGTCAGAAAATTTCTGTCTTAATTGAATGGAATTTTAATGGGATCTTGTATCATACACTTGCAAGCAAATACATATTCAAATGAGATGAACTGCGTAAGCCATAGGAAGTGGTTAACACAGTGATGGTGCATGGAAATCGTGACCTATATACATGTCCCTTACCATTGCCTTCTATATAATGTCTCAGGTGATGGTGAGGCTCTTCAGGTGGATTCTTCACTGTCCTGGAACTCACTGTCTCAATCCCCAAGTGAGTACTCTTGTCAAAGCAAGCCCTATGCTCCCACTTATGTTTCCTGTATGATCAACTTTTATTTATATGCTCACCAGGGGCTCCACAGTGAAAACACTATTGAAGAAGAGCATGCTGTCTCTCTGCACCAGCCTCCTCTGATTTGCAAAGGTTTGGGAGAGAACAGAAAGACGTTCTCGGAGTGAAGGATCAGTAATGCACTCTTCAAAAAACTCATCAGTCTCATCCTTTTCCTCTTTGATCTGATCATCACCGGCCCTAAAGAAAACAGGAAATGTGAGATTCATGTGGGTCCTCGCATGAAGAACTTTGTAAAGGGTTTCTCTCTAGTCCCTCCTCCTGGAAATATCCTCACCCATCACCCTGGAGTGGTCCCTCCTTGCCCTGAGTCTGTAACCTGCTACACTGGCGCTCAGTCCTCAGAACTCTCAGAGCCTGTTTGCTCATTTTCAGCCACCTTCTTTAAGGGGTCCTTCCTGGATTCCTTTCCTATTCAATAGTCATTGCTTTACTCCTGAGCCCTTACGTATATCTGGACAAATATTGTCTTTCAGGTAATTGTGTTTTCCGAGCTGCCTTTTAAATATTTAACATCTATTCTGCCTTTCACATGGCAAGGACAATTTTGTTCCTTTTAAATTTGCTTAGCCTTAATTCTTTCTTAGCTGTTAGTTACCTGGATAATTAGAACCTGGGGCCAGCAGGGACTAGGTTTGCACAGTGATTCTATGATCTGTTTACCAGCTCTGGGACTTTGGGAGTTACCCGATTCCTCTAAGCATCAATGCCTTCATAGGAGTTGCTCCAGCAGAAACGTGTTGACGATTAAATGTAATCAAGGCCCTAGTGCAGTTCCTGGGACAAAGCTGGCAATTCCATAAATACCGGTTTTCTCTCTCTGTCAACCACAGGCAATCACCAAGCTGTCAAGCTTACAAAATGCTCAAGCTATGCCTTCAGGGACCTCCTTTTCTCTCTTTCTAGCTCTTAATATTCACCGTGATAAGTGAGAACAGCAGCTTTCCCCAATCTTCCACTCACTGCCCCCACCGGAGCTGTGTTCACATTTCTCCTGAACTTTGCAGACTGAATTTTATCTCCTCCCAGGACATATGACCATATTCCCGTCATTGTACTGGTATTACCAGGGGTGAGAGACAATTATTTAGCAATATAAGTGCTGAGTGGGAACCTAGGATCACTGAATTCCAGACCCAGTTCCAACTATTGTCAAATAACTCTTTTTAAATAACTCATAAGTTCAGGGTGCTTTGGCCACACTGCAAAAAGAAGTCAAAGAAATGGGTTCAGTGTGTTCTGGTTCCAAGGAAGAAAGCATCTTGTGCTTGATATTTATTGCCAGGTGGAAGGCAGTGTCCAAGGTGACTAGCAGCATTCCTTCCATACTGCTGGGCACAGCAGGGCAAATTAAAGTTCACAGAAATAAAGGAATCTATTTCTTTTTTATATGAGATTTTGTTATCTGATACTGATTTGAAAACTTACAAATTATATACCCTTAGGAACCAAAAGTATTCCACTTGCAGGAATAAATCTTAAAAACAATCATGGATATAAACAAAGACACAGCTACAAAGATGCTCATTAAAGTGCTGGAAGGACACCAGATCAAGCGGGTAAATTTGATGTAAGATAATGAAGCGCTGGTTGAACAAAAATGGGAATCATGAACATTATATTTGTTGGGTACTTGTCAAACTTTTCACATGTATCATATAATTTAATACTCGTAACTACCAGAAGGGTCATTAGCATGATGATCATCATTCCCGCTATATAGATGATGAAACTGAAGCTTTGAAAGGTTAAGTAACTTGCCCCAGATCATACAGCTGAAAGACAGCCTGGACTTTAGGGTCTTTGGAGGTTTGAATCCCCTGGTGCTAACCAATATACACACTGCCTCCTAAGAGTCCAGGGAATATTAGGGAATAATAAGCAGCTAGTAAAGTGGGATTAAATAGAATATTTAACATCATTTTCAAATGTCTGAAGTATTTTTAGGGTGAAAAACAAAGTGGTAAAATGTAGCATATACAATAATCCCACTTTCGTAATAAAAAAGCAAAAAAAAAATCCAAAAACCCCATATTTATTGAGGAAAAAAAACAGATTAAGAGATATCAAAATATTGACTATGGTTTCCCTGGCTGGAAGGATCAGAATGAAATTTTGCCCTCATCTTTGTGCTTGTCTTAATATTTTCTAGATTTATTAGCGCACAATGTATTTCTTTCTACAACAGAAAACAAGTCATTTAAGAAATTAAAAGTCAATCAGTTCTCAGGCTGAAGCACCACAGTTTTGACCTGTTGCCTAACGTGCCTGCTTTGGCATGAGCCTGTGGATGCCCCTCTGAAAGGATGCGCAGGGGAAATGTGGGGAGACAGAATGTGGTCTGGTCTGCAGAAGGTGGAGACAATGGATCAGACACACAGAGCAACATGGAAGGATGTTAAGCGTACAGCCTCATGAAAAAAAAGGAGAAAATGGACAAACTATGACTTCTGTCCGTCTCTCCCCTAAGATAATATATATTTGGAAATAACAGATTCACATAAAAAGATAGACACATTCACATACTGGAATGATATCTTTGGGGGAATTAACAGGAGTGGGGTGGGGAATGTATGGGAATAAATAAAATGCTTTGTGTGGACCGAGGATGAGGATGATAATACTCCATGAACTGAGGAGTATCAGAAATGTAACCCCTGCACCAGAAACCAAAGAGAACAAAACAAATGCCGAAATGCTTCTCTTCTTCCATGCTGTTGAAACTCCAAATCGGTAACAGCCAGTATAAGGCAAAGGGAGGAAAGACGGCACTGGATTCTTCCTCTTTGCCCTCTGATGGAGAATTGGAGCCATGACTAAGAGTCTAAGGAGGAGGGGTACAGTCACACCTTCGGGCAGCCTGACTCCAATAAGGGCTTCTATATATCTCAGTCTAGTGTTTTGCCATGTTGTCCTGCTGACAGTCATGGTTTCTTGCACTCAGCAGTGGTTTTCTTTTATAGATGAGGAGACCTTTCATCAGGTAGCCTAATAGCAGGCCAGCCTTCTCTTCAGTGAAACCAAGGACTTAACCCATTTTACAAATGGTCTAGTAGCTATCAAAATCTTCACCCTCATGTGTCAAGGACAGGCCAGCCCATGGACAAAGTCAATGGGGAGGACTTGTGTCTCTGGTGCAGCAAGGTTGAATCAGTCATAGTCCCTCATCTTTAGGTACTCAAGACCTGTAACTTGCTCCCTTCAGCACACACAAGAGGTGCCAACTGAATGCTGAGGAGATTAAAAATTAAGAGCCATGGTCTTGAGAGCTGGAAGAAATACTCCCATGTCCACACTTGGCTTGGAACCCCACACTCAAGACCTGTAACCTGCTCCCATCAGCACCCACAAGGGGTGGAGCCATCCACCTTCAAATGAAAATGGCCCCATGTGACCCTGAACAGTTAGCAACTCTGTGATAAATGCTACAAATGAAGAACTAGAGATCCTCTTCCTGTTTGCGAGCACCACATACATCTTCAGTTTTTTGTATAAACCCTAGGGAAGGAAAGGGTCCTGTAAACATAACTGAGATTGAGTTTATTACAACCCAGGTGGTAGGCTCAAAGCCCAATTAAAACTGATTTATCTAAAGAAACGTGTCATTTCCTGCATCTGCATGTTACAGAATAAATCCATGCTGACCACTCTGGGGGGCTCCACTGAGAATTGTAGGAGCTCTTGTATAGAGCAAATCAAGAATTAGAGCCAGCTGCTACTGAGAAAATGGCTATGACCTTGCTGGGGAAATGGGGAGCAAAAATCCTTAAAGCCCATGCCAAGTCTCTGAATACAGTGAACGTGATAAGAATGAGTATAAAGAATCTTGCAGAATGTTTTAAAATCCCTCAGGACAAGGTTGAGGAAGCAAGGAGGGATGAATGCAGCCTCCATTTCTAAAGAGATTAATTTCTCTGCAAGTCCCAGAAAAACATCAAGAGAAAGAACTAAAAGGTGATCTTTTTTTTTTTTGAGACGGAGTTTCGCTCTTGTTACCCAGGCTGGAGTGCAATGGCGCAATCTCGGCTCACCGCAGCCTCCGCCTCCTGGGTTCAGGCAATTCTCCTGCCTCAGCCTCCTGAGTAGCTGGGATTACAGGCACGCACCACCATGCCCAGCTAATTTTTTGTATTTTTGGTAGAGACGGGGTTTCACCATGTTGACCAGGATGGTCTCGATCTCTTGACCTCGTGATCCACCCGCCTCGGCCTCCCAAAGTGCTGGGATTACAGGCTTGAGCCACCGCGCCCGGCCCCTAAAAGGTGATCTTTTAAAGGTCCCTATACATCTGATTCTCAAGTTAAAAAAAAAAAAAAAAAGAACAAAAACAATTTTAAAGCACAGAACTTCTTCCTAGAGGGAGGAACCTCATCGCTCAAGTGTGTAGCATGGAAGCAACTCTCTGTCCCCAAACCTGGACAGGTGTCCTAAGGTTTTTAGCAATACCTTGAGGCAGGTGTGGAGGAAGGCCAAATAGTAAACCACCAGAAAGGAATAGGGATTCCTGGGCTGAAATTCCTCCTCTGGAAGAAGAGATATTCAAGTCTTTGCTCGTCAAGCTACAAGAAGACAAGAAAACTTGACGGCTAGGATGGGACTTGAGTGTATCTGGTAAAGCTACTAGCACAGTTGAAGTGACCTTTGAGCAACTTTCAGCCCCTGGAGATGAATGCCACAGGACATGCTTTAAGCCATGTTGAAATGCCAGGAAAACAGTGGGCAGGCTGTTGAGTGTGACCTGAAAGTTTACAAAGAAGTTAAATCTTTTAACCAGAGAGGCTGCCGGAGGGCGGGGAACAAAGGAAGAAGGTGCAACCCATCATGAGCAAGAGAGACAGACATAAAGAGGGTAATGCCAGATTCACCTGTACAGGCTTTGCTGGGGTGCCCAAGAGAGGATTCACTCCATTAGCTAAAGATCTCGCTGCTGCTTTTCAGGGATGGGCAGACCTCTGCCCATAAGCAAGCTACCAAAGAACATTTTGCTTTACAGGCCCCTGATGTGTGGCCTGGGACACAATCAGAATTTGTGACATGGAGGAGGAGGGGCCTACACTCATAGCAAGAGCACGACTGCCTGCAGAGTGCCACTGCCTTGTCCAGAGGCAGGAGCTAAATGTTTAGTAAAGGGCAAATTTGTCTGTACTTGCCCTCCTTTCCAAGAGGTTGGGCATTTCATGGCGGTTATTTCAAGGACAAGAATTCATGGCTTATAATAGGAAAGTTGTTTGCTTTCTTATTATGATGATTGAGGATGTATCGAGGAACAATGGGGAGAAGAGCAAGAAGTGCCACCCTGGTGCAACCAGAGACCAGCGTGACTGGCATCCTTTCTCCCTCTCGGCCTAGCTCCTGGCACTCAGGAGAGAGCTGGGAGGAAAGAAAGGGGCAGCACATCACAGATAAGACAGTCCAGTTTGGAGAAACAGCAGTTCTGGGCCTGTATGTCACCCAGAGTGAAAGCGATGGCATTATTTACCTGAAGCCACTTTTCAAGTCTATTGTTTAAGAGGTCATGATTCTAGATGAGAAAATCAGGCTTCCAATCATGGTTATGAAAATACTATCCTATGTTTTTACCCTTGTTACAAAAAAGTTGCCAGGAGAACTAATAGAGCAAGGGAGATAGTAAAAGAAAATGATGCAAGAGAAAAGGAAGAATAAAAGACAGTATTGGCCGGGCGCGGTGGCTCACGCCTGTAATCCCAGTACTTTGGGAGGCCGAGGCGGGTGGATCACGAGGTCAAGAGATCGAGACCATCCTG